AGAGAGAGAGAGAGAGAGAGAGAGAGAGAGAGAGAGAGAGAGAGAGAAGAACTGAGAATTAAAAGGTGTAACAATGAACAAATTTGTCAAGTTAAGCTTAAAAATTACAAGAACATAAAATCAACCTACAAGTTTGTAATAGCGACATATCTAGCCAGGACTGGCAGCTACCAATAACTTTACAGCTTAAAGTTACCTAACTGGGTGACGAGATACTCATAGATGTTGCTACGGCTAAAAAGTCGTTGAAAACCAAATACAAAGATCCGAGAACAGGCACATACAGAAATTCGTGAGGTCCGCTGGTTCGTTCCGCGGCTTAGTTGGCGTAGTATCTGACACGGTTTGCTAGAAGACGTCGGTTCGAATCCAGCCGGATCGAAGGAAATTTTTTTAAGTGTTCGATCTTTGTATTAATAACTAGTGGAGCAAAAACAAGTCTGCAGTCTGCGAGCATGTCATGGATAAACCTACACATTCAATGAAGTTTGACAAACCCCAGGTCCTTGCAAAAGAAGTCCGTTATCTACCCAGGATGCTGCGAGAGGCCACTGAAATTAAAAAACATCCTAATTTCAACAGGGAAGATGGTTTCTCCGTACCACCAGTTTGGGATCCAGTATTTCCTCTAATGATAAATCCCAAACGGACATAAGACTGCAGTACTAATTAATATGTTTTAGTTTATTCTAATTTCTATTAATAATTAATAATAAATTAAACTTAATAAAAATTCATTCAATAAAATAATTTGTAAAACTTAATGTAGCGTAAATTGGAATGTTTTCTTTGTAAAATTAAAAATAAGGTATTTAATTAATAACTATTGTAACTATAGTGAAAAAATAGGGTGGTTTGCATTAATATTAGACATAACTGGTTGAAGACTGTACCACCTCAGTCAACCGTGACCATGGGACCTGTAAAGGGCCCGAAACGTCGGTTTGTTTGAAAAAACAAATATACGCGATTTAAATCCGGAAAAATAGTTTCATTTCCTAGTGGAGTAATTTCACAAAAAATGATTGAATATCAATTCAATACAAATTTAATAAAAAAAATGTCAACTAACTACTACAACTACAACAACTGTTGTCCCAAATAAATAAATAAACTATCTTTGTTTTCCTTTTTATTTTAAGTTTCATACATCTTTTTAGAAAACCGACCAGACTTGAAAAAGGATTATATTATTTTGTAGAGTTCCCTAAATGTGACGGTGTGTGTATACCTTTATTTTATATGTAAGCAAATTACAGGAACTCATTTATTAAATTCTACTACTACATCCGCCAAAGGGCCTGCACCGCTTAGTATTTTCGAACCATGTCCAGTTACAGTTACTAATCATGATCACAAGTATGCCACAGGTTCAACAAAAAACTCGACACAGACTTGAAGTTAATTGCAGTAGGTCTCCTTGTCAAAGAGCTCGTCCAGGGAAGTATTGCTACCTTACCTATTTCTGCCGCCAAGCTGCAATGTGACCATTAATAATAATAACATTCTTTATTTCTCTCTTACAAAGTTATCCCATAAATAAGTAATTAACATTATGGACTTATTATTAATACAATATCTTTGTAAGAGACTGGAGTCCATACTAGGATTTGACCTGTGTTACGGATCTCCAGGCACCCACCAACCGGACTTCGCACTGTATTCTACATAATATGAGAGCGTTACCATGTTCTAAATTACAGAGAGCGGGTTTTATAACTGATTATTTTAATAATATAAGAAAGTAATGGAATAAAACAAAATTGTGTGTATGTGTGTTTTGTGTGTGTGAGTGTCATTACTGCGGTTTTAAGAGGTAAGGTTGAAATTACAGGCATTTGGGGCTTTTCAACTTATGTCCCAGGCTGACGGGCGCAGCGGCAGTGCCCTTCAGATCTTTTCGATTTAAAGCTTTGAGTGGCACTGTAGACAGTCGTGTCGCTTACCACCAGGCGCACGACTTGTTCGTCTCATCACTTGGTCAGCAGCACGGGCTAAGCCTCCAGGAGTTTATGAGACAAGCCGCTATTCTAGTAAAGTACACCGAATTCAAAATAGTATTGACCTTGACTCCCGTATCCTCCCCCGAATCCTCCCCCACCTCTGGGTCCACTAGTCCCCCAGCCTCTGGTATTATTAGCCCCGCGCTTGGGCCCGTCGGAATGGAAGGCGGGTGCGCTGACGTCGCGCGTGATGTTAAAGTCGCCGGCCTCTATGGTGCATAGAGCCCTTATAACGTCCACCAACTGAAAGAGAAAAAAGCTGTTATCTCTCTTTGATATACTACACAAACATAACAAACTACTTCCTAATATTTTTTTTTATTTATTTCATATAAATAAGGCTTACAAGAAAACATCAATAAAATTTCTCATCAAACTGCGAAAGCAGTTTGTTGGCGAGATTACTATCACAAAACTATATAGTATACCTAGTACGAGTACATATTAGTACATATTTATCATAACCAGTATAGAATTTAACTAAATTGACATGCTTTCAAGAAGTATTCATTTTAATTTTTTCTTCAAAGTGAATTTACTTAACAATTCTCAGCCTCTCAAAAAATCTAATTTATTAAATATAATTCGCAAGAAATCTATTTGTTATTTTACCATAACAATTATTTACTTTTGGACATACATATTTATTTTATTATACTTGTTCGTTGCGTTCATTTTAAATTAATTTATGGAGGATTGTAGGAGTACAAGAGGTGTAAGGTCCCAAGTCGCGTGGCTACCGTTTTACATTAGTTATTTATATTTTCATAAACAATTGTAACTTTCTGATGTAAAATGAATAAGTTTATCGGTTAGTTCTTGGCAACACTGTACAAGTGGAGTGAGGTGAGAACGGTTATAAAAGCAACGACAAAATGGCGCACGCGCGCATTTTACTTTTAGACAGTTGTACATCAATATTTTCGACCCTTTGTGTGAAATGCAAAAATAATTATATAAAATAATTATAGAGGTGATTTTATATTAGTTAATATCGTACTTAGGGAAAAAGTATTTTTAATTGGGGAAAAAATACTGCAGTTCCCCAATTTTCACGTTTTTGAAGCAAGTAATTCTGTAATTTTATTTTATTGTGTAAGTAATTCAAGTAATTTTCTTGTAATTCCATTGAGACTCCACTGACATCACATTGCAATTATGATAATATTTGTTATTCTGCTATAATCTTGTTGTAATGGTAGTTGAGTCAATCACGAACGATCGAGGTTGCCCATCGAGTATATAACCAGAAATAGAGACGAAATGTCATTTAATTTGTTTGAAGACTATTCTGCCACATCATTACTGTGACAACTCCATTTCTGGTTATATTCTCGATGACTACACCATAGATGTGCGTAAATCGACTCATCACTGAAGAGCAGATAAATACCAAAAAATAATGGTAGTTGAATATTACCTACTCTTAACTTTTAGCAGAATACCAAACGTACAAAATCCTGCCATTGGCACTGTATCGACACACAACTGTGTTGATTTAAGCTTTACAGAATTGGGGCCCAGATCTGTTTCGTCCGTACCTTTTGTTCATTAGGCGAGAACTGCAGCGCTGTTTCGGGCTCGGCGGCAGCACGCTTGACGAGCCGCTCGATGGCGGGCCGCAGCGCTGCCACCATCGCCCCCGTGTACGGGGACATCTCGAAGTTCAGCCAGTTGTCTAGGCGGACCACGTTATCCACCTACAAAGTGCGGAATATATTTTTATTACATTTAACACCACACTTTATATAATTCTAAAAACTTTATAATACAGTAGCACTAGAGCGCCTTATGAAAAAGTCCGTTCAGGGAAGTACTGCCATCTTACCTATTTCTGCCGCCAAGCAGTAATGTCAGCATTACTGGGTTCCGGTTTTGTTTTGTTACCAGTGCCCCTAGATCTTTTCGACTTAAAGCTCCGAGTGGCACTGCAACTGTTATGGACAGGCGTGTAGCATACTATCAAGCACACAGACAATCACAAATTACACCCAAACTCACGAGAGAAATAAATGTAGGCCATACAAATATTCTCCCGGCCCGAGAATCAAACCCGGGACCATGGAAAAGGACCATGAAAGGACTACGGACTACTACTAATTCAATTTTTCAACTGCCTATAAGTAGCAGATGCACAGGCGCAATCGTAGCCAGCTAAGAGAGCGAATGCAAAACCTTCCCAATCCCGAATTTTGCAAAGTTAAGACAGATACTTTACTTACCCATTCAACCTTCCTACTGGCGAACAGCAGTAGATGCAGAGGCGCAACCATTGTTGTTTGTTTGCAGCTGATAGCGCGAGTGCGAACTTTCTCGCCGAAGACGAATAGTGGTGATGGAAACTTTATTTCGAAGTTTGAACAGTTCACTGACGTCTTGTGAATTAGAGCTGGTTTACCTTCCGTTGTTAAGACCTGTTTTTTGGGGCAAATGAAAGCAACGTTAAAAAGAAAAACTATCGTTAAAATAAAATAAAAAACTGTCAACCAATAAAAGAGATATACTAATGTGCCTGTTGGGTAATTTTGCGAGATATTTCAAATAGTATACATTTGTTATAATTATTAATACAAAGATCGAACACTCAGGAAAATTCCTTCGATCCGGTCGGATTCGAACCGACGTCTTCTTGCATACCGTGCCAGACGCTATACCAATTAAGCCACGGAACGAACCAACGGACCTCACGAATTTTTCTATGTGCTTGCGTCGTGTTTTTGTATTTGGTTTTTCAACGACTTTTTAGTCGTAGCGTCATCTATGAGAAATGAAAGATTTATCACCCAGTTAGTACCTTTACAGCTATCAGTCCTGGCGAGAGATGTCGCTATTCACTGTATTAATTACATTTTTATTGAATTGATATTAAAATATTTTTTGTGAAATTACTCCACTAGTTTGTTATAATTATTAATACAAAGATCGAACACTCAGGAAAATTCCTTCGATCCGGTCGGATTCGAACCGACGTCTTCTTGCATACCGTGCCAGACGCAATACCAACTAAGCCACGGAACGAACCAACGGACCTCACGAATTTTTCTATGTGTTTGCGTCGTGTCTTTGTATTTGGTTTTTCAACGACTTTTTAGTCGTAGCGTCATCTATGAGAAATCTATGAAAAATTTATCACCCAGTTAGTACCTTTACAGCTATCAGTCCTGGCGAGGGATGTCGCTATTCACTGTATTAATTAAATTTTTATTGAATTGATATTCAATTATTTTTTGTGAAATAACTCCACTAGTTTGTTACAATTATTAATACAAAGATCGAACACTCAGGAAAATTCCTTCGATCCGGTCGGATTCGAACCGACGTCTTCTTTTTTCAATCAACTTGTTATTGAATATCGTTAAAAAAATCTTGTTGAAATTGTCCCATGTGCAATGCGATATAACTGTTACGTAAACTGCCTCTCCTCCCGCACCGCGCATCTACCTTAGGAATCGACTCGGTTAAGCGGTAGGCCTGCAGGTTATAATCCTTGTAAGTTACCTTTCTCTTGCCTTGATGCAAGCAAACGTTCGGATAAAGCCCCATGCACAGCAATGCAACGACACAGTCCAGTGTAGCGTTTGGTCCTTGCGGGTTCCAGCGCTGCGGGATGCAGCACTCCTCGGGGAATCCAATCGTCGTTGTTAGAATATCTGGATGCACAAACATAATCTTTGGTGTCGTTTCCAACGTCCTTACCAGATTTCAGGGAAAGGGTTAATAGTCTAAAAGCAAAACGGTAGCCTAGTAGATGTACGGCTGCTTCTCAATTAAGGTCGATGGTTTGAGTCTCCGTGGCGGCAAGCATCCTTTAAATCATTGTTTCCTAAAGTGGTCCTTAACGTAGGGGACTCGGAAGCAATTGGGAGGCGTGATTGCTGTCCTGGGGGTGCTACCGCATTGGAAAAAAACCTGAATCATCTATATAAACTACACTGCATATATGTATTCATTTTTCTTGTGATTTTTTAAAAAGTGAATATGAAAATAAATGTTTTCAATTACTTGTTGTGGTTGGCGTTGTAATTTTTTTTATCTTGCCTAAGTGGGCGGTAAGCCAAAAAGTTTCGGTACCCATGCTTTAAATTGTCAACAAAAGCTATATAATCAAATATTTTGTTAAAAAATGTTTATTACTACTTGCAATAACTACCAGATTTTCAAAATAAGTTACCGATTCGGTTTGGGTATAATAATCAATAAAAAAGAAAAAACAAAATGACTACTGTAAAAGATATTGGTGGGATTGTACTTAAAGAAAGATGGAAGTGAATTTACGGACGAAACTTTATTTTCCTGAAAAGTTGTATGTTTTTACGGGTTCTAATCCTTTAGAAACCGCATTATTAATATGTGTTAATGGTCTATTCTATGCTTATGCATATATTAATATATACATTATATATTAATTATTTTTTGTAAATATTGATTAGCAATATCTCTCGCTAACGTTAAAGGAAAAATATCGAGGGCTTCTGAAAGATCTGCTGACTCAATTTGTAGCTCACTTGGTAAGAGCGGTGTGGCAACAGAAGCTGGTTCGAGTCCAGTGAGATCGAAGGAATTTTTCTTTATGTTGTTCGATCATTGCATCAATAACAAACCTCAATTATTTCAAAACTCTAATGCGAAATTCTGATAAGAAACGTATCTTCCAACGGAGCTCTTACTTACTGGACGTCTTCCGGCTAATCAAAGTCAAAGTCAATCAATCATTTATTCCACAGGTAAAATTTTTACACTTGAAAAGGTCATTTTTTAAGCTACTGCTCGTTCACTTCCGTGAGAAGAACAAGCAAGAAACTCTGGGCATTGCTCTTTTCAAATAAATTAATTACTATTGAATACACTTTGAATTATATTTGTGTGGAATCTAGACTCGTGTTGTTTTTCCATACATCTTTATCTAGCACATCAATGAAAATATTTTTAATTTAATTTGAAACTTAGGAAATGATAGTCTTAATATATGCTCCGGAATTTTATTTCAAAAACGTATACAGTTCCCTAGAAAATAATAGTTTACCTTAGTCATACGAAATTGTGGTACCATGAGTTTGGACTTAGTTCTAATGTTAATATTATGGACATCTTCTTTCTTAATGAAATTAAGGGTCGTATTCTAGAACTCTTCTCAATGCTCAAGTCAGGATTTGAGTATGGTTTAAAGCACTCGAAATCATACTCAAGTCCCTACCATTAGGGTCGTATTTCCAGTGCTTGTGTTCCCAGTGCAATGTGTGAAATTATTTTTTTTTTATTTGATGTATATTTTTATATTAATGATGTCGATATCATCCACCCGAAAGACGGCCACTACTTAATAAGTTTCATCTATGAGCTTTCCTAATAGAATGCCAAGGTCCTGTGCCGTCTACATCCAGCGCCTGTGACCATAACCAGGTTGTTAGTTCAATGGGGTCAGTGCCGTAGAAAAATAAGTTTTTGTATAACACAGTGAGTCCCTTCCTGTCAACCTTTTGGAAGGGCACTATAACTTGTGCAAGCACAGCGACCTTATCAGCTCAGATCCTGACCCCAGATCAGCCCTTGGACACGGTTTGGGTTCAATGGGTTAGTCTGACCACTCCAGAACCTTACATCAACGGTCAACGCCTGCTACAGGTACACATATCACTTACTATTAAGCTGGTATTTTGCTTCGTAAGTAACCCGCAGCGTGGTCTGCTGTACGCCTTTCCATTCGCACCATTGCAATTCTGCCTCTTCGCCTTTCGCGTGCTCTCGTTCCCACAACTGAAATCACCAATAACGCAACACCGTTTAAGGCTAGAGCCGTAGGTATAGGATTTTTGTCGTTATAAATTAAAAACCGCAAAGAATTGTCCCCGGGAACAAAAACTTTTGTGCACAGAACGATATCAAATTTGTAGTTCGTTGTCGGAAGATACAAGAACGCTCATTCATACCAAAATGGAATCGTCCCAATAGAACAAGTATAAGTTAAAAACGGATAAGTTACTTCTGGACAATGGAATGGATGACTGCCTCCGTGGCCGAACGGTTACCGGACTGCCACGCAGAGGTCCCAGGTTCGATTCCCGGGCCGGGAGAAATATTTATATGGCCTACATTTATTTCTCTCGTGAGTTTGGGTGTAATTTGTGGTTGTCTATGTGTGTGTCCATAGCACCCGCGACACAGGGTTTCCCTAGTGCGGAGCTATGATGAGTGTGTGCATTATAATTAAAAAAAATAATAATAATCATGATGAGATTCAACAACTAACTTGTCATCCTGTAAATACGAAAAATAAGAGGTTCAGTGAAACATTTTTTTATGACTCTGTAGTCTGTTTTTACAATATTTGTATTTTATGTTTTTATGACATGTTATTTTTTTTAGCAGCAGTAGAGCACCTTGTGAAAGAAAGAGTTCGTCCAGGGAAGTACTGCCACTTTACCTATTTCTGCCGCCAAGCAATAATGTTAGCATTACAGCGTTCCGGCGTAGAAGAGTACGGGTGCTGGTGAAATTACAGGAACATGGGACTTGTTAACTAAGGGCGCGTTCCCACTATGTCGTCACGTTTTATTATCGCTGGACGACTGTCGTGTCTAGCCTGTTCCCATATCACGACTATCTGTCGTGGACGATTTTTTATCGTTGAACGACTGTCGTGACGGCTGTTCCCACTAGATCGTGACGACAATTTATCGTTTCACGACAGCTTCCTTGTCGTTTGCACGACAGAATAGTTTGATGCACTGCAGTCGCTTGTATGTTCTTTTGGAAGCCGGTAGGGTCTGTTCGCTCGAAATGGATGAAGACGAAATTTTAATAATGTATTCCTTTTTAAAAATGCGGAAGAGGAAGCAAACAAAGAAAAGAATGTTTTGGGTACATCCAATGCCACTAAAAAGAATTCCATTAGGGTTATGTCAAACGGTATACGAAGTTGCTTTCTTTTCGGTATTGTCAATATCTGCTACGACCAGAGATGGGCAGTGGTTTAAAAGCCAATCAACCCGCCCGTGTTTTCACCAGGACTTTACGCCGAGTTTCAACCCATTTCTGCCCAAAATCGTGGGCAGAAACGAAGAGTACAGAATTTGGTATTAATTCCAACACTAACAAAATAATATACAATAACTTGTAACAAATTTCTATATTTTTATTACACGAAGAAGAGGCATCTCCACATAATACCCACCACTTGTTACTCCTGTGGATTATCAATGAAGATCGATTCAAGTGCATACGATCTAACGATTTTTTGTATCAATTTATTGATGAACTTTTCAAGCGAATCTATTCAACAGAAAGGTAAATCGAAATGTCCTGATAATAAAGCAAGAAATATGTTGTAATAATATGTATAATTAAATTTAAATTAAAATTTTAACAAAACTCAATTGACAGCAAATATTTAGAAGTTAATAGTTTTTGCCCGATTTCGGATTTAAACCCGATTTAAACCCGGCGTTATCAAAGCGGTTAAAACCCGGGCGCTTGCTTATCTCTAGCGACGACCCAACGTTACTGCAAAGCGAGCAGAGGGCCCGGGGTATAAGATTGGAGGGCAGGGAGCAGAATACGTGCGGACAGCGATAAATAAAACGTGACGACAATAGGAGCTGCGACAATCTGTCGTCACGTTTTTATCGTGACGTTTTTTTATCGTCTGACGACTGTCGTTCTAGCTTTTCCCACTGTGACGACAGTTTGTCGTTGTAACGATAAAATATCGTGAACGACAGTTAATCGTGTCGTGCTATGTGAACAACTTCATTTAAATATACAAGTCACGACACTGTAAACTGCACGACAATCTGTCGTCACGACATAGGAACGCGCCCTTATGTCTCATGCTGACGGGCGCAGTGGCAGTGCCCCTAAGATCTATGCGATTTAAACCTCTGAGTGGCACTGCAACTGTTATTATTAACTCAAAGCTTTAAATCGCAAAGATCTATGGGGCACTGCCACTGCGCCCGTCGCCCTGAGATACAAAGTTGACAAGACCCATGTGCGTGTAGTTTCACCAGCACCCTGGGCCTTCAAAACCGAAAAGCGTTTGCTTACATTACTGCTTGGCGGCAAAAACAAGTATGATATCAGTACTTCCCTGGACGAACTCTTTCGCAAAGATACAGCCTGACAAAGATACATACCTGAAAAGCATTCAGCATAGCAATGTGGTCAGAAGCTCGGTCGCCAGCCAACGCCCTCTGGTGTCCAGAGAGCTTGCGTCTACCCTCGACGACGAATATCTCAGGGAATGTTGTTGAATTAGCCGCCATAGTTGTTAGAGGGTCTCCTACCCCAAACACGAAACCGAGGACTAACATTTTGCCAAGCCGGGGTTCTGGTAACAAATTAGATTTGTTAATATTACACAAGCAATATTCAACAAAGTATTATATTTTATTGAACACAAACTAATAACTAAACTATAATAATAATAACGCAGACAGTTTGGGGTATCGTTCCCAGAAGGTTGGCAACATTTCCCTTTGAGTAGCTAATATTCTTTGGCTGAAATAGCTGTCAGCCTTGTGGTCATCGGAGGCTTCTACGAGGCGATTCGACCGCTTGTTCGCTAGAAATTTTGCCTGTTTGCACGGCTCGGGTTTTTTTTATAAAATATAAGTGCGCATTTGACCTCCATCTCACCTGATGGAAAGTGACAATGAGGTCGACGATGGAGCATGCACACCTAAATAATGCCTATTCACTCTCGCCTTGAAAAGGCCCAAGTTATATCGTAGGCCAAATTAAACTTCCTCCAACACATCGACAGAATTACAGCCCAGTCATTTAGGATGTCAAGTCTTGTAATACGCTCCACTAAAAAGTTTAAAAATCCAATGACAAAGCTAGTTTTATTTTTCTCCTTGTCTAGGAGTGTCTTAGAATTTTCATCTATAGCATGGAATCCCTTCTACCAAATACATTCCAACAGGATTGAACGTGTACAGAAGAAGTTCTTACGTCATGTTTGTTACACTGAAGGAGTTCTAGATGCCCATCCTCATTATGCCGACCAACTATCTAGATATAGGGCTCTCTCTCTGTCCAACCGCCGAACAATGTTAGATTTATGCTTCTTACATAAAATTATAAATAATTCATTAGATTCTCCACAAATATTGCAAAAAATTAACTTTACAGTCCCTAGACGAAATGCTCGTTCCATTAATTTTGCTCCATTCAAACATAGATTTTCTAGAACAAATTTGGGTATTAATGCACCTATAAATAGAATTGTCAGAAAATATAACAATGTATTTAATGTAATGAGTCTCGACATCTTTAGTGACTCACTAGCAACCTTTAAAAGGAAAATTAAAAAATATTTTTATCTAAATTGTAACTAATATACTTTGTAACTCGTGATTTACATAAATTGTCTTAACTTTTTATCTCGTATTTGTAGAGTATATTTATGGCTTTGGATTATAATTTGAATAGTTAGTTAATTTTCATACAACCATGAATCAGTAAAGCTTGCTGTGTTAGCCAGTAAGTATGGTGTATATATATCTATAAACCTTGTAACAGTAATGTATATTTGCTATTGTATTGTATTCATAATGTTGGCTTTCCTATAATAAATAAATAAATAAAAATAAAATCGTTCAGGGAACAAGTCTGCAGGCAGGGAATTCCACTCCACAGCCGTTCGCCATATAAATGTGGAAGCATAACGCTTCGTGCGTATCCTTGGAATATCCACAACATAGGGGTGGAACCCAAGCCTACGCCTAGTCCCCGGTGATGGCAAGGGGAAGGCGGAATTAAATCGTGTAATTCAATTGCACACTCTCCGTGAAATATCCTACAAAATACCGATAAGAAGACAACTTTACGGCGGTGTTCAACGCTCTGCAGCTTCGCCTCCATTAATTCCGAGTCACCTATAAGCCTCTTGGCACCGTTATCAATTGAATCCAAAGTGGCCAGTTGGTATGTAGCAGAGCCATCCCAAAGGTGGCAGCAAAACTCCAAGCACGACCGGACTTGCGCTTGGTACAGTTGAAGCAACTGTCGTCTTGTAAAGTAACACCTCTCCCTGGAAAGGATGCCAAGCTTCTTTGCTGCATTTTTGGCCATGGATTCAATGTATCTGCCGAAGTTCAAATTGGACGACAGGTTCATTCCAAGTAGCTGGAGAGAGTCGGCTATCGGTATGGATATATCACGAAAACTCGGAGTCAGCTCAAAGGGACTCCGTTATGTGGAGAATAGATACGCCTGCGTTTTGGTAGCGTTAAATTTGACTAGATTGGCATCGCCCCAATCGGAGACTGCCTTGAGCGTCAAATCCAAACAGCTAACCATGGACTATCGACAAGACTGGATTTCCTCTCCACTGACCCTTGCAATGGTCAAGTACCAATCTACAACTGTGCTGTCATCAGCATACGCAAAGGTACCTGGAATTAACATATCAATGATATGCAGCAGAATGAGAGTTGTAGACAGTACGGAACCCTGAGGAAAATCAATCGCCATATGTTCGGAAGAGTAACCTTCTAAGACCACTCGAATCGAACGTTCGCTCAAGAAATCCGAGATCCAATTGCAAAGGTCAGTGCGAAGCGCATAAGAGGGAAGCTTACTTAATAGGCTTGCGTGCCAGACCCTGTCAAAAGCTTTAGAAATGTCCAAAGACACTGCAAGTGCTTCGCCTTGCTTTTCTATAGCCTCGCTCTATATGTGACAGGCATACACAAGAAGATCCCCAGTAGATCGCCTTCGTCAAAATCCGTACTGGCGATCACTGAGGAGGTCGTTGTCTTCATCGTATGACAAGAGACGGTCGCTGAGTACACGTTCCATAGTCTTGCAGAGTATGGAACTAGACATTAGGAGTGATTTTGCCGGATATGGTATGCCACATCAGATAGATAATTTTACCGATTGCACTCATGACTACGGATGGCAGCATATTTTCGACTTGAAGGATGTCTGTAATCTCTTTGTGACAAAAACATAGGTCAATCAAATATCTGTCAAAATGTCCAGTTGGACACCTCAGCTATCACTGGAGTTATACAGTGCAGATATATCTTTACAAGCTTTAAGTCAGGAATTGGAGCAAAATCCTGAATGTTCCAAAAGACGGCGATCGGTCAGAACATATGAGCCACTTAGCCACAGTGTAAGTACACAAATACTTAGCAATTTCGAACTAAGAGGAGGCTACTGACCAATAGGCAGCTTAGCCAATATAGCCCCCAACGGAGTCAAGTTGTCCTGCGTGTCTAAACAGCCCAGCTCCCGCAACAAAGCTTCTGCCTCGATGACGGCGTCCAGTGGCGGCGGTTCCGGAGCTTTCGATAGGAAGTGGCCTATACTGCCGAGGCGAAGGAGTTTGATGCTGTAATCAAATATTTATAACAATGCAATAAATGTCATATTTATTGCAAACAAGAAATTATTACAATTTCACAGTGCCTTGATAAATTACTGTTATCTTGTGTAGTAAGAAAGAAGATTTCTGACGGCTTTTCGTACTCAGTCATGCGATTTGAACGGTTACTTATAAAAAATCCGAAGTTACATTTTCCCGAAATAAGGTATGCTCGAATTTTCGTAATGTCGATAATAGATCAAGAAATAATTTATAGCAAACCTAACCTAATCTTTCCTTTGCGATAAGCGTCCAAAATACCCTGAAATAATAACAGTTTCGTGATCTGTTTTAGAGATTTTGAAAATTCGAGCATACCTTATTTCGGGCAAATGTAATTTCGAACTTGTGATCGGTTACCAGAATGTGTCAACAGAATGCAGTAAAATTCGAGCTTTGTGTGCTTCTATTTTCTTAACTTCGTGTTTCGGCTGTAGTCGGGCCTCTATTCTTTTTATATAGCCTTTGGTACAGACCTGACGCGAATCAGTTGAATGGGAAGTATCTACTATATTTGTGGAGTGAATTAAAATTATTTATAGCCGGAAAAATATTCTTTCATAATTAGTTATATAAAAGAAGAGCACTATTTCCTTTGTATTTCTGTTAATGTGCTAATTGACATGGAATAAATGTTATTAAAACCAGGGAAATAGTTTTACAGCTCTATATAGTACACACGGAAATCAAAACAACAATAAAGTATGTACTTCTGAATTTTGAATAATAATAGATGATAAATCTAATAATTAATGTTCATGGAAATTAATATTCGTGTGCATTCGGAAATCCGATGATTGCCGAGAGACATTCAAGAAAATAGGTTTTATTCATTGACTTACAATTATATGGACGTCGGGTCCGCGCTAAAAAGTGTCCGAACTTATAGGGCGTTAAAATCGTATACAGAGCGTCATTCACGCTTTAGTCTTCGTTTGTTCGACTGACAGCGAAGCAAGCAAAATTAGACAGTACTGCGATGACATTACAATTTAAATTCAACGTTTTAGCTTTTTCATATTCCTTTACATGTCACTACGTTTAAATAGGTTGACTTGGGACATTTTTTTCGTGGTTTTTGTATTAGACCCGTCGTCCATTTATTTGTAAGTCAATGGTTTTATTCAAAAAATTTATAGAGTGTCCAGGAAACCCCAAGGGCCGGCAGCTACCTTGCCCAACGCATTAGCATAGCTATACAAAAGAGGAACGCTGCCAGCACCTTGGGCATCTTACCGCGGGGATCCAAATTTATTCACATAATTGAATCCTAGACTTAGTTTCTAGTATTAAAGCTCTTATTGTACCTTACCTCCATATTTTAACCGTATTGTCTAATGAATATAAAAAATAAAATAGAAGCACTGTGCGTGTGGTGTTGTGTGTCGGTAGGGGGCGTAGACCGACCTGAGGGCCAGCTCGTGCAGCGGCGTGCGGAACATCTCGGCCGTGAGGTGCTCGTCCAGGCGCTCGAAGCGCGCGCGGGAGCACAGCGTGAAGCACACGCCGGGGCGCACGCGGCCGGCACGCCCTTTGCGCTGCGCAAGATTCAAGGTCATTGCAACTGGTACACTCGCGGACAATCAATCGTGCAGCTAGCAGAATAGGATCTACTGGGATATATCTAGACAAGTCATAATTTTTAACCCGTTTATACATCTCTGCGGTAAAATTTTTTCATCAGAAAGAAATAAAGAAAACTTTTTATTACACAAGCAAAGACATGCATGTTATGTATCCAGATTTGCATAACACACATACCTAAAACGTCAGTTCAATGCACTTGCATTCGCGCACCCCGGAACGCGCGCCCCGTGCATTGCAACGTGACCGATGCAAAACTCGTCATTTTAATTATAATTATGAGACACTTTTCGGTCCAACGTTCCTAACATCGGACGTAGACTAAATTCCTTTAGTTAAGATCTTTTTCGTATAAGTACTTTTAGACCTAATGTACCTAACTTCAGACGTTCTTAAAATTATTTAGTTTAAGAAATACCTTTGTGGAAATTTAATATAGTTATTCATCATATTTTCTCGCCTTTACTTCATCTCCACTGCGGCCACCCTATATAATTTGCATATAAACAAGACAGAGGAATAATAATAATAACAATTCTATACTTCGTTTCAATCCATTTTGAACAAAAAGTAAACAAACAAGTCACTGACAATCGATTAATTAATTGAATGAATCGATTTGTTCAATTGAGTCATACTAGCGGTTTTCCTTACGTAACCTATATAAGCATATTATTTAAAATTTCAATTGAAATCCTCCTACAAATCTTTACTCTTAGGGTCGTATTCTAGAACTCTACTCAATGCTCAAGTCAGGATTTGAGTATGGTTTAAAGCACTCGAAATCATACTCAAGTCCCTGCCATTAGGGTCGTATTTCCAGTGCTCGTGTTTCAATTGCAATCCTGACTTGAGCATTGAGTAGAGTTCTAGAATACGACCCTATGATACTCGTTCGATTGCGATTGAAATGGTCGATTTAATAATCGATTACCAAACTTTAATTGATTGAACCGAATGTTTTTTTTTCGAACAGCGCTACGCAACCATAGGCAAGTCACAGAAGTATAGATGAATAATAACCTCACTTTTAGACTACCATTTTTCAAATACGATTTTACGATGCTATTCAAATGAATTTGTGGGAAAAAGTGATGATATATCAAGTCGAAATATACGTGAAAGTGTAACACTTTCACGTATATTCGATTTATTGAGTGATTGCTTTAGAACTTTAACCAAACAGGTTTGTTAACTTTTTGTTCAAAATGGATTGAAACAGACTATAAATTAATATTTTAGGCCCACGGAGAAGCGAGAGTCAAAAATAAATAATGATATAATAATAATAATAAAAGAACAAAAAGAAAACGGAAACAATTGATACTGATTACTGAATTAAAAGAATTGATAATTCAGTACCTAATTCACCGTCATGCGTGTCGGGACTGGTGCAATCGGAACTTGGTCAGTTTTAGTCACAATACTTTTTTTTTAAACCGTTTCGTGGCGCTGATTTTCAGCAAGCCCACTGTCACCACTGTATCACCGTTAGATCTCATATCTACGCCAGAAATGGTCATTTCTATGATATACGTTATATGTATATAATATACGTTATGGACTTCTTATCTGGGGAAATGGTACGAATATAAACAGAGTGTTAATGGCACAAAAAAAATGTATACGTGCCATTACTGGTAGGACTCCGCTTGAATCCTGTAAACCTATATTTAAAGATCTTGGTTTATTACACCTGCCTGCCTTATATATTTATGAAGCCAGCATTTTTGTGAAAAATAATTTACATTTGTTTATTAAGAGTATTGACGTGAACCATCGAAATTATAGAAATCCCAATAGACTAATTTTTTTTGACGTACCTAAGGTAGAAAAATATAATCAAAATTGTTTGTGTATGTGTGTCAGAAGTTACAATAGATTACCAAATGACATTAAACACTTGCCCATTACATTATTTAAGACTAAATTATATGAATTGTTAAAGAATAAAGTATATTACAGTATTAGGGAATTTCTACAATAATTTTTATGTAAAAGAATTTAAATTAATTATATATAACTTAATGTAAATGTAACCATGTGACGACCTATTTTTCATTTATTTTGCATGCCTAAATTATCTTCGGGCGAAACATGCTTGAACTTATATGTATATTACTGTGTTATCATGACCACCATGTTTTATGCAAATAAACGATTTGATTGATTGATTGATTGATAAAACTTAGTGACTTTATATTCGAAAATGTTTCGTTTAAAACATTAATATGTAAATAATACACATACAATACGGAAGCGTGCGCGTGCTTATGATCGGAGCGCCTGATCTAACTGATAAAAATTTAAAAAAAAGTTATACTATTTTTTTCCTTTGAAAAAGTTTTTGTGTAACGGTTTGCGTAAAAACAAACACCGTTATACAAGTACACTATACACGCCGCCACTTTTTCGTCGGCGCGCCGCCTCCGGTTGTTCTATTATCGGCGCTCATATCTAATCATCGTAATGTCCTAAATTATGCCCACGGACTTTTTCATTACATTATCGCCCTAAGGATTTTTTACGTCAACATTAAGCAAAAAATTTTTATGCTCGAAAAATCTGAACGTACATCTCGCATAAACTTAGAAATATAAAAAAAACTAAACATTTGCAACCCACGACACTCTCCTTGAGAGTAAGTCAAATCATAAAGGAGCCTACAGATTTGATACTTGATAATGCACAGGCCACACAGAGGCTGCCGCGGACGAAAGCGTTCCGGGCGCGGGAATTTTTGAAATGTACGAGTTCATATGGACCCCGCCACACCGAAACGCGCTGCAGATGCGTTTCAGTGTTGCAGGGAATGCTTCCGCGGCCGCCTCGGTACGGCCTGAGCATAAAGGTTAAAATTTAACAAATTTGTACACCTATAGCGAATTTAAATTCCAGTGTCATTCGACTAAACATACGTTGTCGATTGTTTGCTGCTTACACATTTACTCGATTTTCTCTGATCACACATGTCGATTGTCAAAAAAATAATTTAAAAAACTATTACTCATTCCCGAGAAGAACGAGAAAAAGCTCTAAGGGTAAATAAACATTCAAAAATTATTTTAAGAATTTGTGAAGACTGCTATCAGCCAGTTTATTTTTATTCCTCGTATTAATGTCTTGTCTGTGACTATTTTTCATGAAAAATTACTATAGTTCTTAATGTAAATTACGTAAGAATGTTAATTTCTTTAAAACTTATCTCTTAACGACACTTTGGGGCCCAAATTGTAAATTGCCCTAAACGCACGTTTTTGCAGTTTTGAAATAAGTGAATGTTATTTGACACATGAAGTTTCTCTCCCGATTTTAACTTACTCTCCAACAACAACTACTTGTGGTTATTCAAACTTCGCCTTACCTGTTCGAGGTTAGTCCGACTGGCCCACACTGTAGCATAAGAAGTCATGTTGTTATGCGACGTGAACAGTTTCATCTTGGCTTTGCACGAGTCTATCACATAGACAACGTCGTTAATTGTTATTGACGTTTCTGCGATGTTAGTGGCGAGGATCACCTGCAACATTCATTTCCATTAAGGTCGGACCACATTGCGTTTTATATGGGCTTTTGCACGCTCAAACATCGCGTTCATAATTTACATGAGGTTCTTTAAGATACATTTAAATATCACATTCATACTAATGAGTATTCCATATGGGTTTTATTAAGCATGCTTAATGTCGTATCCATATTAAACTTGTTTTATATGGAAATCTTTCAGCATGCTTAAATACCGCTTTGATACTAATCACTCGATTAGTTGTAGAGGTATATAGGGTTTTTTAAGCGCCACGCTTAAATAGTGTACATAATAATCGTATTTTATACGGGATTCTTTCAGCATGCTTAAATATCGTGTTCATACTAATGGAGTGTTTTATATGGGATTCCGGCAGCACGCTTAAATATCGAGTTCTTGCTAATGGAATGTTTTATATGGAGCCAAAATTTAGTATGAATTTTGAAAAATCTTTCAAATGCTACCACATATGATGAGTTCAAATAAAAAGTGGTTTCGAAATCCTATATTGAAATATTTAAATTTTAAAGGCAATACAATAAATAGTTCACATTACCTTGCAAATACCAGGCGGCGGTGTGACAAAAACCTTCTTTTGATCCTCTCTCGGAATCTGACTGTGCAGCGGCAGTATCACATACTTGTTTGGGTCACCGAAGTTCCTGTTACGGAAAACGTGGTACATCCCTATAGTCTGTCTTTTTTGAAGACGGAGTAAAATGACATTTGCAGGGTTGCCAATTTTATCAATAGATTATGGAAGAAGGTACAATTGTGCCAATAATGTCTGAATTGTGAGAACGTCACGTTCCAGTCTTCTTTATTCTTACTTTGACAGTTAGCCTACTTGTATCGAAATCAGTTTTTATTCATAACAAGGTATATTTATTTTATTTTATTTATTTATATTCAGGTTACATAGACCCATACTTCATAGATTAACAAACATAATAATATAAAAAAAACACGTTAATTAATAATGTACGCACATGGACTGCGATGTGTAACGCAACGCAAGTGCCCGGTAAAGGTGAGGCCCTTACATGACACCATTTGGCCAAAACTCCTCCTTCATGGAGGGCAACAGATGGTCAGCTGGTACTTTAATGAATTAAAATCTACTATTTAATTCCCACCGCTCGACACTCAGGATGAGGTCTTTCATTTCTGTATACTCCACAGACTGACGCCTCTGGTCGGGGAGGTTTCAAGTGACGGGACGCCTGTCCATAACAGTTGCAGTGCCACACCCAGCTTTAAATCGCAAAGATCTCAAGGCCCATGTGCCTGTAATTTCTGCCGCCAAGCAATAACGCTGACGTTACTTCTTGGCGGCAGAAATAGTTAAGGTGGCAGTACTAACTTGGACGAGCTCTTTCACAAGGAGCTCTACTTCTGCTAAATTCCTACTAAAGTTACGGCTGACCGACTGAATTTGGCTGGATATATACCAAATAGTTTTATTTATATAATTCTTGCAGCGAATGGAAGTTTTTTATATGTTATATCTTTTCCTATGTTTAAATTTTCCTGCATTATTTTCCAGCGCTCATAATGCAAACATCATCGAAGTCGTAAAAAATTAATTCTAAAAGATGCACTCGGCTTAAACTTAATTTGCGTTCATTCGAATCAACGTCGTAGTTTTGTTTACCTGTTCATCATCAGATGTTTCATCAGTGCGAAGATCAGATTCCACCCTGGCAGGAAGACCAACACTGCACCTTCTTCGGGTAGGGTGCTTATGTACTTGAGAATGGCTTCGATGAGTTCGAAGCTTAGCTAAAAATAATAATTCAATAACTTTTTTATAAAAAAAACCGACCTCAAAAGTTGGTGGAATTGCATCTATATCTTGCCAAGCTTTATTGAAATATAATTATAATAATACAACCTATATACATCAACATAGCCCCGCACCAGGGAAACCCTGTGTCGCGGGTGCCATGGACACACACATAGACAACCACAAATTACACCCAAACTCACGAGAAAAATAAATGTAGGCCATACAAATATTTCTCCCGGCCCGGGAATCGAACCTGGGACCTCTGCGTGGCAGTCCGGCATGGTAACCGTTCGGCCACGGAGGCAGTCGAAATAGGTTGAAATAGGTTACCGGAAAGTGCGCGAAACCGTATTCATCCCCTAGTTTGCCACTCTTAGAAGCGAAATATTTTCTTCAAATTTAAACGAGACCAATACTGAGATACCCTCTTTCCAACAAAGAAAGAATCATCAAAATCGGTTCACAAATGCCGGAGTAATCGCGTATCACAGTTGTCACAGTAATGATTTGGCAGAATAGTTTTCAAACAAATTAAATGACATTTCGTCTCTATTTCTGGTTATATACTCGCTGCACACACTCAACACAGCCCCGCACTAGGGAAACCGTGTGTCGCGGGTGCCACGGATACACACATAGACAACCACAAATACTACACCCAAACTCACGGGAGAAATAAATGTAGGTCATAACATTTATTTATATAGCTATTTCTTCCGGCCCGGGAATCGAACCTGGAACCTCTGT